CGGGCAAATTTTTTCATGTTCATATCAAGTTTTCTTTCTATTTTTGACCTTAAAAACCGCTAGTAGATTAACACAGGGACGACCCTTTAGGGGCTCTGTAGGGGCCGTTTGCCGACCTATGTTTATTTAAAGTTTTCTTCCTATTTTTGGCCTTAAATTATTGCAAACTATTTTAGATTATTGCACACTATTTTGGGAACACCCTGTATACTTTCCAACGAAGCTCTTTAGTAGGGAAAATGTTAATTTTTTGTTCCCAACCCAAAATAGGGTAAAATAAAAAGTTACTAGGTATATAAAGTTAATAGCTTTATTAATGTTGTTTTTAATTTTATTTTTTGAAGTAATTTCATTAGTGGGAAAGACAATAGAAGCACTATTTTTTGATTTTAAATTATTTGATCTACTCTCCCATTGATAAGCTGTGACTTTATGGCGTTTTATTCACGGGCTGAAGTTAACAACATTGGCTTTTGGGCATTTTAGTCACAGGTGAGTGAGGCTAAATCCGTTGACAGTTGACAGAAGTCAAATTTTTAATAAATTAAATTTTCTTTAAATCCTTCTTTTTGTTTGTCCTAGATAAAGTATAGTTCGTTTTATAAACTTCTCTAGACACTTGTTTTTATCACACACTCGCCCGCAAGCTTCGCTCGTGCCTGATAAAAATCTTAATTAGAATGGTGTTTATAAAACTTTATACATAATATACTATTTTTTACTGCTTGGACTTAAAAATAAAACAAAAACATAGAAAACGTATAATGCTTTATTAATCATTTAGGACTAGGATGTAGGTATACTGATAATACATTACATGTTAAAACAAGTTCATAACCAAAGTACGCACTCAAACAATGAGTTAAAAACTTAACAATAACAATAATATACAATCTCTTAATACAATTATCAATGCAACCATTAAAAACAAATTTCAGTTAGTATTCAAATTATAAGAATTAAAAGATTACACACACAATTAAATACCCTTAAGTTGAGATCGAGATACCAGCCTTAGCGTATTAAGCAAAGTAATTTGTCATGTTATATTTAAGACATTCAATAGAAATTAGATAATATTTAAACAAGTCAAGTGGCACCCTTTAAGACCCTTGGTGGTGACAAAGGGTAGAATAATCCTGATCTCCCTATGGCTATTTTGGATATGATAACCAAAATGCCAAAAGCACTATGATAGCTTTTAAAGCAGTATCCTGTTCATAGATAACCAAAAAATTAATTAATTTTCATCTGATTTGGACGGTCTGATTTTTTTAATGGTTTCATTGTATATTCTTATATATAATTAAAAAAATATTAGTAACCAACCAGTGTTAATAAGCGTCTTTACAAAACACTACATCATATTCCTTGGATCAAAATAAGATTAAAGTTAACCTAATGATTATATGATTTTTACCAATGATCCTTGGCATTGGTTAGGTAGCCAAATGAAGTAGTCAAAATTCTACTATTTGAATTAGTACCAGCATTTTTTATTAATAAAATAGTCGTTTTCACTGTTAAATAGTTATTTTTTACTACTTTTACTAATAAAGTAATTTAAGTAATTTAAGATCATTTTTGACTATTTCTGAGTTAAAAGTAACTAATTTCTTTAATCGTTTGCTGCCAAAAACAAATTATTGCTCGATTTAAATGCATGGTTAAATGGTTAAATGACCCATAAAAACAAACAAAGATGCAAAAAGTTTAGGTCAAAACAGCAACACAAAAAATTATTCAACTTTAAAATATTATGAACAATATTTATGGTTATGACATACACTTGACAAGCTTGATAAGCGACAGACCCGAGTTCAAACCCCGGCTGGGTCAGAACTTTTTTTAAATTTAAATCTTCTTATTTGACTATTTCATTCAGTAGAATTTGACTAATTATTAGTGACTGCTTTTTCGCTATGACAATTAATCAAATATGACTTATAATTACCTAGTTATTTTTGACTAATTATTAGTGACTGCTTTTTCGCTATGACAATTAATCAAATATGACTTATAATTACCTAGTTATTTTTGACTAATTCATTTTAAGAGAGATGATTAGTGACTGCTTTTTCGCTATGACAATTAATCAAATATGACTTAGGTAGTTATTTTTGACTAATTCATTTTAAGAGAGATGAGACCTGATTAAATTAAAAAAAAGTATTTGATTAAAAAAAGTAATTTAAATATTTGCATATCATGGTATAAAATACAAAAAATTAGATGGGTGACCATGTCCTTAGTCAGTAAACTACTATTTATCAAGAGTAGTAATTGAGTAGTACAATTTAAATTTTTTCATTGAAAGGTGCAATTGATTTTGAAATTGTACCTTCACGGCCGTATAGCGCCCAGAACAAGCAAGTTTATACCAGGGTAAGTTTACTTAAATCAACTTATTTTGGTTTAAGAAATATGCTGTAGGTTTATGTAAAAACTTTTTGTACCTCTTATATACAGGAATATTTTCAAATAGCAGAATTTAAAATTTGTATGTACTTTTTGTGTGAATATTACATTTTTATATGTTTTATACATAAACCTGTTAAATTTGAATGTATGCTCCACAAAGTTTTATAAAACTACCGCATAATTAGTTTATTTTGATTAAATATTAATTAATATATTTTTATGAAAATAAAATATGCATTTGTTGCATGTTTTAATTAAATATATTTATATGAAAAATACAAATGATATAAATAATAAATTGCAACCTACGTAAAAATAAAAGGCAATTCGTTATATTAAATAACACAGGTTTGGGGTATACTACGCATCAAATTTTATGGTTTTCAATAAACAAATAATGAATTGAACACGTATAAGTATTTTGATTTCATTAAACTATGAATATTTCGTTTATTGTTGATACATTCATATTAACTTTTATTTATACATACCTATTGTATTGATTGTTCTGCCACTAAAATTTAATAACATTTATTTAAAATAATGAATTAATTAAATTTGACATCTTATAGCATAAACAATTTTTGGGTTCATGCATTATTTTTCTTATGTCTAAGTTTTAAGTAGGGCTTACTAAATTATTTACAATTGGGACATTAGGCTTTCAGGATTATTAAAAAAGTTACGCACAGTGATAAATAAAAAAGTTTTTTAATATTTCTAAAAGTGTAACGACTCAGGTACCAACTAACATTTCGTTCTTTATACAAAAATTTTATATTATCCATGAGAACACTTATACGTACAGATTCTGTTTACTAGACATACAAGTCATATTTTTTTGGTTAATTGTTTAAGTACACATATTTCATAAATTAAATATACATTGTTTTTTAATAACAATCAATGATTATGAATAATGATAAATATTTACATGAAATAATTCATTTTGGAATTTGGTTTATAATAGCTGGAAATTCGAAATATATTATCGGGCATAATTTAGTAGCTGTTTATTTGCCAAATATGTAATAAATTTTACATGTTGATTGGATGAAATGACATTAATCACTTCGGGAAATATAAATCTCTCTCGGGATTTAAGTTTGTCAATTAGGTTTTTTTTCTATAAAACTGATGAATTTGATATATTAAATTAATCCACAAAAAAATACCTACCTATGTAAGTTTTAAAATTTAAATACAAAGTTTGTGGTAAATATTTAAATTTTTAAATTAAATTAAATTAAACAAGAATACAGGGTTTTCCACGCGATAGGGAGAATATTGTATGAATTTATAAAAATAAATGTTATTTGTGGATTCTACAAAAAAACTGTGTAAAACATCATTTTTAAATTGTATGATTATAGACTACAAAGAATATTCAACGTCATATGGTGATCCAGAACCCCCTTTTCTTTAGTACAAACTTAAAATATTTATTTTTACCGTTGGCAACGCTGTTTCCTAAGTTAAAATATTTATTTCACAAAGGTTGTTATTGAAAGAATTAAAATTATATTGTATTCGTCATAACCTTGTTTAGTATAGTCAATCTGTCGGAAAAAAGGTGTTGTCGGAAAAAACTGACCATGCCTCATTCATTTAAAGCGGACTACAAAAAAAGTAAGATTTTATAAGGTGATCTCTACAAATAAATTAGTAGAACATGACTAGTTACTTCAGTTATTAGTGGCTGCTTTTTCACGGTTTCCCATGGTTAACCATGGGAAACCATGGTATCCCCAACATTTAACAGCCAATTCTTATGTAAAATTATCCCCTGAAACCGAAAATCCGAAAATTATGAAAGTAGAGCAGTTTTTAAGATATGACTATTTAAAAAACAATTTTAAAATACTGACTCGTTAAAAACTTTTCTTATACCTACTTAAATTGTCTATCACGTGGAACACCCTGTAAAATTAAAAATATTAAATAATTTAAATGGGATATTTAAGTTAAATTTGTGTCTACAGTAAAATTGCAGTCTGCAGATTACTACCTAAATTGTATTTAGGTATTAGATATTAAAATTATTTTTTAAATGTAAATACTTTTAGTGAATCGACTTTGCTAGAACAAGGAGGCATTAAGTTGTCTGGTCCTAATCTTTTATGTGCATGTCTGTTCGCGTTACATATTTTACATTTCCTAAATATTGTGAAAGCATTCGGAATCTCTATTATCTTTGTTATGTTTCCGGTTTTATAACTCTATGCGATCCAGACCAATAAACGTCTGTCTGATTCAAATTTCCAAATATGCCAGCTATATTTTTACCATAAAATCGTTACTCCTAAAAGTTATTTTATAGTTACTTGCAAATTTAATAGTTCAATCAAAAAAGTTTTTGAAACTTGATGAAAATTTGGTAAATAATGCTATAAAGTGTAACCAATCATCAAAGTTTTGAGCAATTCAGGTGTAGATGTCATAATAGCGATTAGTATATTTAATTTATTGAGACAAACCGATAATTATAATTTATACAAAACTTTAGTACCTAAAACATGACCTAATATATATTTATCTATATTTATTGCACAAAGTATTTAAAATTAACCAGAATCACATACATTTTATACATTGAATGTCCGTTTATACTCCTTATTTACTAAAAAATACTTTTTTTAAATCACACTTGATTCAGTAACAAGACTTGTCTTAAATCAACTCATTACTTACACACTATCACATTAATTAACCACTTCACAATTAAAAACAAATTTTTCTTAACCAAGTGTAAAGGTGGACGTAGAATATTGACAAGAGCAGGGGCGTGCTGGTTAGTTTTCTAACAACACTACCCGATCCTGAAACAAAAAAAAAACAATTAGTATTAGGTATAGTGGCAACGAAACAAATGGTAAAATGTTTCTTGAATTATTAGATATGGCGTTTAAGCAAGTTTTTTCATCCTGGAACAATTTGGATGTTATTGAAGCGCGTTTTAAAGTTAGGGGCATTATTTTATTTCTTATGATTCCGTAATTGTAAATACTAAGAAAGTCATTAGAAAAAAAGTAATATACTAAAACCAGCAAGCACAAACGTCCTTGGACCAGCCTTATGTTTCAGATGGGATGATCTTATAAGGACGTCCGTAGGTCGACCCGGATATAATGGGGATGTCATTTAAAAATATCCTTGGACCAGCCTTAAAGTCCCAGGATAAAAATGTTAATTAATTAAAAAAATATATTTTATTTACTTAATACTATTGAGTTAATAGGTAAAATGGCCAATATAAAACTAAATATAATTTCTACACAAAACTCTAAAAACAAAAGTATGAACAAATATAGTTGCAATACCTCTTACCGCTGCTTACGCACGCTTGATAACTATATATACGGATAGCTTACAATTATCAGGTGGAGATGTGAGTTTGTGATGACACTGCTGAACAAAGATTTATTTTTCTTACATTTTTTAACTGTGCTTAATTATTTAGCTTACTGCGTTCACCTGGACCAAGCTAATCCTATATTCGCCGAGCAAGAAAAGGCCAGTTAAACTCCATTAAGGGGCTCTGTAAACAGGGGATCGTCAGGATGCTAAAATGCAACGCGCCACGTACGCACACCACCACATTGCGACTATTTTACTTTTTCTTTTTATTTTGTATATTTTCTTTTTATATTAAAATAAATTTGATTAGATTTGATTGAACGATAATTAGAGTGAGGCTGATCTGCTAACAAATAATTGCTAGTAAATCGAGTATGTCTAAGTGTAGAGTATTTCTTCCCTCTTGGGTTATGTGAACGTCTTACGGTTTATTCTTGTTCTTACAGTGCAACAGTGATAAAATTAGAATAAGATCTAAATGATAATAACTATAGAAGATTGAAGATTACGTTTAGCAAAGTTACTAAAGAAATGATCAATTGGCATTTCCAAATTTCTAGAAGCATGTATTAATGCAAGGCGAATATGACGAAAACATTTAGGCCTACCAAAAAGTGTATTCAAGAAGGGTAAATCCTTTGTGTCAGTATGGCTAGAAATTACACCCTTTCAGAATACTGTTAAAACAAAATAATAGTCGATGTTATGCATTTTAATGTATACATACTTGTGTCTCATTATGGTGAATCGATGAAGGAATTAAATATTCCGAAGAAGCCATTGATAAAAACATAAATTAAATTGATGTACATTGTGAATTGACGAAATGGTTTACGGACATACTCGTTTAATAATCACATTGTATTATTTGATTCCATATCCCTTATTATTTTTGCGTTGTTATCTATTAAAACAAGAATAACCATTTATGCGAAGAACACTAATCAACTTAATATACAATGTCAATGTCATTGCCAATTACAATGTAATATTAAAAATCATACAATTTATAATAAAACATCACGGGTTACTTTGACAATAGCAATAGTTAGTTTTGTGACATAAACGAGTAGTGTCAGGAACAGTAGTGATCAATATTCTGCACATTAATTATTATTTTAGATTGAAAATAAGTGGATTACTTTATGCGCCTCAATGGTTACTGTTTTTTTTCCAAAAAGAGGCGTTTTGTTACATTATGAAATGGTTTTCCTTCACAAAATTCGTTATGTTATTTAATCGAAACGATGAATTAAAAATTTTACCCAAACCAAACCCATAAATATTAAGTAAAGAATTATCGAAAAGAAGCAAGGACATAAAAAATAGTAGTTTTACATGGCCTAACGAGTTTGTGAAGAAAAATACCACTTTTGGGTTAGAATTTTTCGATACCTAACCTGACCAAACCTAAATCGACTATAATATAGAATATATTATATTCTAATTCTAATAATATACTAATTCTAAGAATTTGGTTGATCTAGTGCAAAACCTTGTAGACTAGTGTTATCATCACCAATGTCATAATTTTATCAAAAATAAAATACAGTGTGGAAAATCTAACTTTAAAAAAAATTTATTAAATTTTAGTTAAATATAAAAACATTTTTTTACCTTGATTGGGATGGTTGGTTGGCTCCATGATAAGAGCCAGTCGTGGAGCATCTTCTTGTATTTCAGCTTCTTTGGCAGCCCTGTATAGGGAAAACATAGTAGCAGTGCATTTTAGTCTCATTTTGCCACTTTTAAACAAGTCGGGTGCCTCGCGAATCGAGATTGCAGAACGAACGGTTTCCAATCCTGGTAGGGCATCGTATCGGATTATGGAGTTTTGAATGTCGTATTTGTATTTTGAAGAAATCTGAAACAAATATATTTGTTACTTGGAATAAAGCTATTTAAATGTTTGCATTTTAATCACTAACTAAATTTTATCGTTTAAGTACAAAAACTCTGGTGTAAACTAAAATTTGCTTAAAAAATGATGAATTGATGACATAAAAGTGTTGGAAAAACAACTTCACAAAGCTTTAAATTTATGTACCTCTGTATACTTTTTATGGACAATAAATGATGACAATTACAAAAAAATACCAGGCAACATTAAAAAAGATCAGTAGGACGGAAGTTCATGGAGGTTTATATTAACAAGATACTGTACGTTTATTGGCAAATTCAAAATAAATTTCGGTCAGTGTTGAATTTAAACTTTGTCAAGAGAGATCGGATATCGTGTGTGCGGCAAAAGTATCGGTCAAATGCTCGGCTCACAGCTTTGATAAGGGTAGCTATCAATTATTCGGTCTACCAGCCATCTTACCCATAAGGTTTATCAGTCTGACCACCCGTTAATGCCTTGAATTTATCGCGCAATTTTGCCCAAGCCTTTGCTGCAGCTTAATTTAAATAAACTCCTAAAACGCTAAAAGCCAACAGACACCACTCAAGCTCACGTATGCCCAACTAAACAACTTTGGATTTAACGCAGTCAATTTGAAGTCAGGCGATGGTCTCTAATGAAGAGACATACTTTTCATCGTAAAATTGTATTCCTAAGTACAAAAAATAACTGGCGCTAACTATAGTTTAAAATACACATCATTCATTGAAGTTTCATGAATACACAGATAAAATAACACAGTAACCATTGATGCGCAGAACAGTAATCCACCTAATAAACTAAAAATAAGCTATAATGTGAAGAATATTGCTTACTATAGATGTGATGGACAAAATGAAATTTTCTGTTTGCCACAGGTGAGCCAACAATGTTAATTTATGTGCGATGAGTCCATTTCCATCATTTTGTTTAATTAGTCCTTGTTTTCGAGTTATTGTGAAAAAATCTTCTTTTCGATATGCATTCACATTCCTACATAGATGTTTTTAAATCAAATACTTTAACCATGAATCATGTAGCTATAATACCTAAATCATAAAGTGTCAATTAAAAAATCTATTTTTAACGAAATTAAATCTCTTTTTTTTAATGTCGACAACTTAAAGTACAAAGTGTTGTTATGCGAACAATTTTTCTCCGATTTTAATAAAATTTACAAATGTATGCGATCAAGTAAAAATTGCCAAAATAGCACTTAAAACCACAGCGCGATGTCAAAATTTATATTTAAGATAAAAATAAATTAAAAATAAAGTTTTTCTCCAATATCTCGAAAAAAAAATTATCAAATTTAAAAACTAATACCATAATGTAGGGATTTGAAAGGCCTTTAAAATGAAGTATTACTCGACTCCTATTCCCTTAAAAAATTGTAGGGGTAACCATCACCCTCGCTTTCGCACATGCGAAAGTGATCGTAAATATAAATTTTGACACGCGCGGTTGTTTTGAGTGCCATTTTGAAATTTTTTATTTGATTGCGTTGAAATTTAAACACATAAAAGTATATAAATGACAAAAATTGTTCGCCAACAGCACTATTTTGTTCAAAATAGGGTTTTTTAACTTTACAAATGTGTATAATTTTTTTTTTATTTAAATTATAACTAATGGCTTTATGATCAATGATCCTTGGTTACGGTTGGTTACGGTTAAGTATTTGATTACAAAATATATAAACGAACTTAAATGTTTGCAAATAAAAAAAACGGTTTTTGACAATATCTCGAAAACAAAGGCTAATTGGACGGCTTTCTGCAGAATGGGACCAACCCACACCATGATGAAACTGAGAAAAAAGCTATCAAAGATTTTAATAATTTTAAAATTACCTGTTAATTTTATGCCGATTTTGGACTTACGGAGGTTTAAGGGACATAAATTAATAATTTCATCAGGTGGATTTTGTGATGTTATGTTTAAGGATGACGAAAAAAATGGGCTTTTGTTAGTTGGTTCCTTTCTGCAATTTATGAAAACTACTATCTGATGTATGTATGTATTTAAAGAAAAGCGACAATTATTTATTTCCAAACAAAATACAACTGATATTACTATTATAATGGTAATATGAATTAATTTTGATTCTATTTGAAATTCGTCCACATCATCTTCCAACCCCACCTCATCTTGTAAGCTACCAAAAAAATGCATCAAGACTTTATATTTTGCAGAAGCAGGGAATTTTAAAGACTTTGGTAGTGGGTCTACCAGCCTGCTTTTTTACAAAAAAGATCCAACCCACTTGCAGATATTCTACAGATTCTAATTCTGGATTAGTAATCCACACTATTACTGAATGTTGGTTGGTTCAATGATTAATAGATTTCACTACACTTGCATTTTGGCAATGACCTATTTTGCAGATAAATTATACATACTTAATTAGTTCATAGGCTAAATATCTCGATTTTTTTCGTTTTGTGGGTTGGTTCCTTTCTGCAGAAAGGCGTCCAATTGAGCAAAATTAAGGTTATTTTTGGAATAAGCACAATCTATCCTGGAAAAGTTGTTGTGGCAAAAAAGCAGAGTAACCCTTGCTGTTGTCGTTTTATTAATGGCGCGATAAGTATAACAAAAATCACGAAAAAATCTGTTAGGATGGTTTTGTTGTCCTTTTTTCTAATTTTCAGATATAGTTTTATTAAAATCTTGACTGCTCGGTTTTTTCCGTTCCCACAGGGAAGCCATAATACCTTTTTGTACTTCCCGCAGTTAATTTGTGTGCATTTTTTTTAATTAGGTACATGTATTTAAGTCCAGTTACAACTGGATATATTTTTCTAATTTATTTTCATGCAGTTTTTCAGACGAAAAAGATGCCTGGACAATTTTGTCCATAGCCTTAAAGGCCGACACAAATGGAAAGAGTGCTAAAGGACCAACATTTTTGGTAATCTCACAGTCCATTAGTTAATAAGCTCCCTGGTAATGCTTTGAGACAACGTTAATCTTTTCAGGCCATTTTAGTGCTTGATTTCTTCCAACAAGAGCAACTATTCCATTCCAAAAAAAATGGTTTACATACCCTTGCAGCCCATGCAACTCAGAAATAACACATTTTTCAATGACAAGAACGCTCTGGTTTTCTTTAAAAAGCGGTGGATTTATGGTACTATGACATTGTTTTGCGTATTTTTTCTTCGTTTAGATTGTAAAATATTTGATATTCCTTTTTTAAATCACCGTCAGTTTTAACAGTATTTTTTACTGGCAAGTTTAGACGATTTTTTGTCTTGTTCTTTGATTTTTAAAATATCGTGGTCATTATACATTCTTAGTTCATTTCAGGATATAAGGCAGTATGGACATGGAAACGTAGATGTTGCTGTTTGTTAATTTGTGGCACAATATAACGTACAATCGATTCTGGGTCTATCTCCTCCATATTTTTTGGAAAAACAGACATGTAAAAAATCCTTGCCCACCAACCGCTGTTATTTTTACATTGCAATGTCCAATCAAATTTCGGTATTCTACAACATTATGAGCATCAGCCCAAATGACAGGCCTTTCTTGGTGTGTCAATTTATTTTCAACATCAAATTTAAAAACGCACTCATGATAAACATTTCCCAAAGTTTTTGCTGTTTTAGAAATATAAGTTAGATATGCTTTGGGTACCGCATATCTACCAACATTAATTCTAATAAAATTAGTCATTTTTTTCATCTGATTGTTTGAAGCACCTGTACTAACCTGATAACTGTCCAGTCTTTTAACAGTAGCTTCTTTGCATTCTTTTTTTTAACTGAGATTCTTAGTTTTTTTACTCAGAGACTAGTTTAACCATAAGCACATTCAGAGTGCTTATTGTTAAATTTTTTTTCAGCTCCAATTTTTCTTTTTACTGTTTACTGTTTTCTCTGCGTAGGATGTTAACATGTCGTGTTATTGCGTCTGCATACTATGTATGGTCCGGTACGTTAAAATGGGGCATCGGAGATCTCAATGGCGAAGGTAAACCAGGCACAAAATGAGCGTTATTTCCTTTAAATACATAAGAAGTTGTTGGAAAATGTTTAGGGATTCGTAAACTCGATCTGTAGGCAGTTGATCGCTTTTGCATAATGCACCGCGGTGCACCATCTCATCGTCAGAGTCCTGAGTGAATATTTGACTATTTTATGGCTTAATAATTTACCTATTATAAGTATTTTTAATCCTTAAAGTATTTTTTAATTTTGCTAATACTTAAAGCACATGTGCATATAAAAGCAAATCAGGTCCTTAATATTAAATTTGTTCGAGAGCCAAAACACTAATCCCTCATTAAATTAAAAAGTGCAATCCACTTAATAGCCAAAGAGTCTTTTGTAAAAATGTTGAGTGTCTGCCAGCATCTCTATAATTTGTTTGCCGGCAGGCCGGGATCTTGTAATGAATGATGGCGTAAAAGGAGGCAAAGAAAAGGGAGCGGGTTGGGGGGAGACGACGGCAGCGTCTCATCGACACGTTGTAAGCCTTGTCAAGTTTTGTGAGTCTTATCAGCACTTAACAGAGGTCTTCACCGTCGTTATACGCCCTTTTGGGTGTGACAACCCGTATTTCAGACATCTATCATGGTGGATATTCAATAAATGATGGGGCATTATACGACAGAATGTAAGTGATACCTATGGCCTTTTAGAGCGCGCGGCCAATTGATAATGTATTTTGAATTTCCACATCCAGCCACCTGGATTTACATTTTCAATACCCGATGTCAACACTGACTTACGACTTACTTACTTGCTTGAAAAATGACTGGAAACCGCTTACATGGATTTTAACATCAAAATATCAAATGACATAGGATTATTTAATTCTCTTGACACCTTCTTTTAAAAAGTTTTTATTGTTCTGGTTTAGTTAAGAAAAATAGCTTAAAAACAGGGCAATAAAATTGTAAGCACTTTGTTTTTCCATTTACTGTGAAAAGTGGTGGAATACCGAATGCCTTCACTGAGAGAAAAAAATAT